CCGCTCGCATCCCACCGTCTGCCTCTGTGGCTTCCAACCAGATCTGACCCCTGGGTTCTTCCAGCTCTTTGAAAGCTCCTGCCAGCAGTACGACAAGCTGTGGAAACGGGGGGCCTTCCTGGAGCAGTTCCGCAAGGAGGACATCTTCAAGGACAACTTGGACGAGATGGAGCGGTCGCGGGAGGTGGTGCAGCAGCTCATCGACGAGTACCATGCAGCTACGTGGCCTGACTACATTTCCTGGGGTACCCAGGTGCAGTGAGCCCCACCCTGCACACACAGGTCCCCAGCTCTGCCTTCCCGTCCACTTCCCTGTCAGTCTGCAGCCCAAGACGGGGCCCCCCACCTCCTGGCTTCTATTCCCAGCCCTTGTTCTAATAAAGTAATAAATCTCTGTGGTTCCTATAGTCAGGCTTGGTTTTGGGTGGAGATTTTTTTTTTTTGTTATTGTTGTTTTTTCTGAGACAGAGTCTCACTCTTTAGTCCAGGCTGACCTTGAACTTTTGATGATCCTCCTGCCTCAGCCTCCCAAGTGCAGGGATGAGGTACATGCCACCACGCCTGGCCAGGGTTTATCCTTGACCCTGGGATGATCGGCGATGAGGGTTGAGTGGCTCTGCTTTTACCACGTAGTCTAGGTTTTATGCTGCCTTCACCTGCCCAGACATCTCCTAGCCCGAGCCAGGCTTGATTCAGCGGAGGGAGCCCCTCTCTCTGGATCCCCAAGGGTTCAGATGCAGTGTCTCCTCTGTGCTAGGCTCCCAGCCCAGGTGAACAGTGTTATCGAACCGCTCCACTGGGGTGGCACCCACATAAGTCACTGCCCTTGAATGGCCCGACAAGCTGGGTCTGGGTTCCAGGACCCAGGCTGTCAAGAGCCTGGTGGACCCAGCCTGGGAGTGGCTGAGCGTATCTGCGTTTCCTCTCCCAGGGAAGTTCTTTCGTCTCCTGCTCCGGCGTCTCCCGTGTCACACCCAAAGCAGTGGGCATGGCAAAGATGGACCCACACAGCCCAGAAGCAGGGCCTGGGCAGTGCCAGACTTGATGACTCAAGGACACCGGGAGGGGCAGAGGCTGGGTAATTGCAGCTCCCTGCCTGCCTCCCCCAGGGCAGTGGCTGCAGACTGGCCGAGCAGGGTGGAGCTCTGCAGTGTCCACTCCCCTTGCACCCCTGCGAGGCCCCCAGTGTGGGTGTCCCGGGTGGAGTCCAACTTGTCCCCAACAACACTCCCACAGGAAGGGTTTGTGTAAATAAGGATTTTTTTTTTTTTTTTTT